GATGCTGTGAGATTATATAGAAAGTCTTTGACCCAATAATCCAAGAGCTTGGGTTGAATGATAGGGTGCATGTTGAGAATGTTTTCCTTAAAGCTTTCCACGTACGCCCACACTTTCGGCTCAGAGAAATCAGGATTGCCATCAACCAAAACGCCTCCCTTGTATCCCACCTGATCAGGAGGGCTCAGTCCACCAGGCTGGCCCCAATCATCTGCTGGCGAAGGGGATGCCATATTGGATGAATCGTCCGCCATTTCCAAGTTCCCATGGTTGGTCGGTTCTCGGGCTTGCCGCGATGGGTGAGCATCTTCACCTTGGCCATGAACGATCAAAACGCCTCTGCTCTGTTCTTGGCTAATGGGGTATTCGCTGATACATTGCACACCTTCGCGCTCAACGTGGTGTTTTGTGAGCTCACGAATCGACGGCCACTCCAAAAGCAGGCCCGCTAGAGTCGTATGGTTGATAGGAATCGCGGGTTCTCCAGGTGGCACAGGTGGACCAGGCTCAACCTCCATCTCATCCTCGGCCATCATACGCAATGGCATAGGCTCTGAGGATGGGTGATCGCGATGGGCGTCATTATAGTATGGGTCCACAGAAGTGCCATTGGTAACGTAAGGCGACGCTGGCGCACGTTTGTACTCGTCCTCCACTGAAGATTCTGTCTTGAGAGCTGATGTCGCAAGATTCTTGGGCAAGAGCGATTCCATCTTGGTCAATCTCTGATCAAATCGCCCCAGGTGTCTCATGATCGAGTTAAGCGACGTCTGGACAGAGCCGAGGCCCTCTAAAATGTTGGCTTGCGCTTTATCCGTCCTGTCAATAATTCTTAGTTTTTGCTATCAAGCCAAAGTAAATCTCTCAAAACCTACGCCTTGGGCACCGGGTCACGGTATTTGCATTCCATGTCCTTTTCCTTGCAGGTTGTACATGGCTTCGTCTCGTCGCACTTGGCCTTCAACTGCCTGCAGTTGTCGCATGCCTACCCCCAGTTAGAACTTGCGCGCTTCCACTCCCAAGATGCTCATACCTGACTAACTCGCTTAGTTCTCTTTCTTTCCGGCGCACTATAGCCATCCGGGGTTGGGGGCATAGAAGGCGCGCCTTCGTGATTCATGCGTTGCGGTGCATTATCTGGGTATGCGCCGGGCACGCCAGGAGTTGGGAGCGAGGGAGTTGGCAGATGCGTTGAAGACGTTCCTTCTGGCACATGGGCTGTTGAGTTGGGTCGATTTCTATCCTCGGCAGATCCCTGTTTTATGGATTTGTTTGGGCCGTACTCCTGGTATCGAACATACGGCGAAGGTAGGTGCTGCTGCTGCCGGTCATAGATTTGGACAGGATAGGGCCCTCGCTCATGGTGGCGACGATCGGGATCGTAATGTACTTGCGCAAGCTGGTCGTGGGAGAGATTCGTCGGACCTGATGACAAACGTTAGATAGGTCAAGTAGGACAACTCCAAGAAGAGCTAGAAGGAGGAAGAGGCGTGTTAGTTAGTACCAATTTGAGATACATATTTGAAGTTGGACATTTCGAAATCAGGCTGAGAACTTGTTGAATTTGGAGAGGCGCTGCGTCATGCGAACCACCCGTTGCCTTGTCAGGTTGCACAGCATTTTAAGTCAATGTCCTTCCTCTGCATCCAACCCGGAACACCAGAGGGACGGGATTGACCCCTCGTTTGCAGAAATTACGTACATTCTGCTATCAAGGGGATGATGTTGACTTACTTCCTGCACCAATCAAGTGTAGCACGACGGCGTATTGTTGGTAGCTTGCCCTCGCGCACTTCTGCCTCATGAGGCAAGGTGACGTCTCAGGACCCACAAAAGCGTGGGGATATCCCGTTCGTGCCTCGATTGCCAATTTAGCTCCAAGCTTGGACCCGCGCGACAGGGTCTATGATAGTCTCTCGCCACACCCTGTTTGTGCGGCTGGTCTGCTGCAATACAGAGCCAGGATGCTGAACAAGGTTGGCGCACGGGGCTGTTAGCGCCATGGTGCTGGCTTTAGGCAGTCACGTATACAGTGTCATCTCAAGAGTAACGGCCGATCATCCCCGCTGGTCCCTGACATCTTTCGCTAGCGGGCGATTGTCATTAGCACGCGTCCACCACGATAACAACCATGTAGACGAAACGCACTAGCCGATTTCGATTGAGCAACATCTCAGACGTTGGTGTAAACCCCACGCGAGATGGACATGAATCTGGCCTTCATATCAATTCCACGTTTAGCACAATCTTGGATGCTTTTCCCCTTCCAAGATCCTCTGACAGAGCGGCTTTTTTTTT